AGACATGTCATCTTCTTCAATTGTTCTCAAATAAAAGATGACTTAAAGGAACAATATGTAAAAATCTGGCCAAAAGTGGTACTGCAGTCACAGTCAATAAATAAATAAAAGCAATGTAATTATACATAGTTTATGCAAAATAAATAAGCAATTGATGTCCAAAATAGGAGTGGGAAGAATGGATGTTGGAACGTATTTCTTCAGCGTATCAACATCAGGGTTTGCTCAAGAGGATATCACCTTTCAATTTTATTTATTCCCTATTTTTTAGACAAACATGTAAAAGTTCCACATCAAAAAGAGACTAACATTATTTTAATTGGGGTACATGTGGTCTTAAATGATTATTTTTACAATTAAGCTATAATCTGCAAAAAAAACGTCTTGACCTTCATCTTTTACCGTTTTTAGAGAAATCTGTCATAGAATGTGATAACATGCAATAAATACAAAAAGACATAGGCGGGATCGAACCCGGGTTCCTGCATCGTAAGCGCACAGTTTAGACCACTAGACCACCGGTTCTCACGAACAGAGACACCGTGAAGAACGGATTCAAAGTAGAAAATTCTGCATCACACGTGAACTTTTATCATCTGTCTCAATTGTTCAAAGGCATCCCGATATAATATATATATATATATATATATTCTGGATGAATACATGCTGTATCGGAAAATAGGCTAACAGTGCTGACATGTCCATGTGTTTTTGTTTAAGGTCGCCGGATCTGAACCCCATTGAGTTAGTGTGGGCGTCCATGAAAAGATACATTCGCTGTGAGGCCAAGCCGATGAGCAAGGACGCACTGATCTCCGCAATAGAGTTTTTTTTGGCTAAACAAACTCACAACCCAGGTCTGCAATAAATATATAGACCACCTGGACAAAGTCATCGACCAGGTCATAGCCTTGAAGGGAGAGGCAACTGGCATGTGATATCCCCACGGGCCAAGGGATGTCCACGTTAGCCTATATTAGCCTACTATTGTTAGGATTTCTATATCCAGTGTTTTGTCAAGGTGCCAATTGCTAATTTATTAAACATTTCCTCCAATGATAAAACTGAATGGATCTTGTTTGATGAGTATTGTGATGTATTCCATTGATTGCACACCAGCGCACTGAGCCAAAATGCGTCAGCGTCTCTCTCTCGCTCTCTCTCTTATTTACATCACGCCGTGTTTGAAAATGGCATTTATTTTAACCAATACTATAAAACTTTGCTCAGCCAAACAGTAAATACCAGAAGAAGACCTCACTAAAAAATCACGAGAGGCAGATCGCTTTCAGAATGTCTTTATTTTCGAATTCGCATAGAATTCTATAGACAATACATAATTATTTTAAATATATACGTTAATGCAATTCGTATTATAAAGATAAAGATTATAAAGAAAGAAATAGCATTCAATAGAAACACATTTACATTCACATGCACGGCCCAGCCGCGGCCAGGGATAGGCCTGGGTAGGCCGGTGCCTATACAGTACCAGTTTTTTTCTTGGCCTTCCCAATTTTCTTCTTCGCCTCTCAAGTCATTAGACTTTTTTGTTTAAAGTCATAATTTCAATATTTTTTATTTTTATACACACATTATTAACTAAATGTTGCGTTCTAATCTTTTTTTAGAAAATATAACCCCCTGAGCGTCATCACGTTCCTACGTTGCTTCAAATATAGTTCCGTTTATTGGCTGAACAATTTTGTCCAATAAGCTGCAAGATCATATCACACAGCGCGAAGCTCGTTCCCCGAGAACAACAGCTATTCCTCCTCTTAAGGACTGACAATGCTCTCAAAACATTCACAACAGAGTATCCTTTTTCATTTTATTTTTAAGAAAGTTCAGCGTGAGGTGGCCCGTAGGTCCCAGAGGAGGAGAGCGCAGTCAGGCCAGGCTCGCCTCGCACATCTTAAAGCTGCTTTCAATATCTTTTCAAATCTGGTTTCCTTTTCTCCATAGCATGTCTGTAACAAAAGTTCTCATAATCTGAAGTCAGCGTATTTACATGGTTTTATGAAACAGAATTCTGAGAAAAACAGGTTTAAAGATCGACATTCCAAACATAATCATCACAGTCATATAACATGTAAATTTTGAATTACTCTGTTATGGCACACTTGTTTTAGTCACTATGTTGTAGAAGATTAAAAAGATGTTACTTTATAATTTACTGAAAATTAGATATGTATTAGACATTGCCAGTATTATTCTATCAAATCACGCAGTCTAAATATCCACAACCACCAAGCATTTTTAATGCAAGGAGAAACTTAGGTAACTTTAAACACAAATAAAACAAATGGACCCGTCCGACTCGAGTGTCTATGCTTTGTGTGTCTCTGGTTCTGTCCAAGTGTCTATGATCCGCGTCTCGCGTGTCTCCCCCTGTCTGGGTTCTGTCTGCGTATATGTAAATGTAAATGTCTGTCTGTGGTTCTGTTCGGGTGTCTATGGTCCTGTCTGTGGTTCTGTTCGCGTGTCTATGGTCCTGTCTGTGGTTCTGTTCGCGTGTCTATGGTCCGCGCTCGGAGCCCAGACTGCAGTGCGTTCACTGAGCTGCATGTCAGAGCGGCGGTCACAGCAGCTGCTCCCGGGGCCAGAGCGGAGGATGTAACGTAACGTTCGGTTTATCAAAACATATCACAATATTTAACGTATAACACTAGTGAATTTCACCTCGATTTTTTCAGACATTAAAGACAAGATGTTATATAATAATTGTTTAATGAAAAAACAATTTTGCCACAAGCAACCAAAAGATGTGCCTCAGACAAGAATCGAACCTGGGTTCTCCAGGTCCCAGTCTTTAATGTTAACCATTCGGCTAACATAGGATCTCTGGGCTAGACAGGTTTGCACGCAGTGTTATACCTGAGCGTCCAAGTCGCTGGCAGAGCTAAAGCGGACTTAGCCTGCCACCTTGTGGCGATAAGATGTACTATTTTTCACGCAGCTGCGTGATTCCCGAGAAGCGTGAATGAAGACGACAAAACGGAATGGGACCTACTGTATCCTTTGAAATAGTGAAGCCAAACAATGTGAATGAATTTGATGAAAGAACTATAACAAATAATTAGGGCTATCATACTACAAAAAAAATTGAATTGAGTTAATTACAGCTTCAACATTTATTAATCGTAATTAATTGCATTTCAAACTATCGGCAAAATTATGCCATATGTAGCGCGAGCGGTGGGCGAACTATAAAGTGGTAAATTTAAAACCAACAACGCCACCCAGGTCTAGGACCTGGGAAATATAATTAACTTAAATAGAGCACACAGGTAAGTTTTAAGGAGGAGGGAGAGACAGTCTCATTCAATGGTGCAAAAGTTTTATTTTGAATTCACAATCAAAAGCTGCGTCCTAGTCGATAAAAATCACACGCGCACGAGCCAACACACCACACGCACACCATCAAGTACCGTATACACACACAACACGCACACCATCAGACACCGTATACACACACAATCACACGCACTACACACACTATACACGCTAAAGAAATTCACCAGATGGGTGGGTTTCACACCTCTTTCTCTTTCACTGGACACTCCTGTCTCATGTCCTCTTGTGGCAAGGTGGTGGCTTTTGTTGGCCTTTAAAAATGCAAACTAAGTTCATGCAAACATTAGCAGAGCAATAATTGCTTCAGTGAAGGAAAAACATTTGTAGCCTACAGTAATTCAATTTGGAGAGACGAGAAAACAAGAAGCTTTTGAGTATTTTATTGGGAGGAGGTTTGGCGCCCTAGGCCCCGGTGCGGCCTTCAGATCGGAGAGGCTCCTGCGATGAAGCGCGCCAATCCCCCGGGACCTAGGTACTGGTGGCGGCATTTGGCAGCGGGAAGCAGATTGAAGGCAGATTGGAGGCAGGGTGAAGAGGAGGAGGAGGGGAGGCGGTGGTTGCAAGGCTTTGGGAGGCCGTGAAGTGGGAGTTTCTCCGCTTTTAAGCGGCTGCCTGGCCGGTACGGGTGATTGGAAGGGGGCGTTTGCTGTGCGATAGGCTGGGGATGTGAACCGGCCTGGAGGGGGTAACTTTGGCTGACGTCTACCAAATTGAATTTCCGCGGGCTGCATTTCAATTTGGAGAGACGAGAAAACAAGAAGCTTTTGAGTATTTTATTGGGAGGAGGTTTGGCGCCCTAGGCCCCGGTGCGGCCTTCAGATCGGAGAGGCTCCTGCGATGAAGCGCGCCAATCCCCCGGGACCTAGGCACTGGTGGCGGCATTTGGCAGCGGGAAGCAGATTGAAGGCAGATTGGAGGCAGGGTGAAGAGGAGGAGGAGGGGAGGCGGTGGTTGCAAGGCTTCGGGAGGCCGTGAAGTGGGAGTTTCTCCGCTTTTAAGCGGCTGCCTGGCCGGTACGGGTGATTGGAAGGGGGCGTTTGCTGTGCGATAGGCTGGGGATGTGAACCGGCCTGGAGGGGGTAACTTTGGCTGACGTCTACCAAATTGAATTTCCGCGGGCTGCATTTCAATTTGGAGAGACGAGAAAACAAGAAGCTTTTGAGTATTTTATTGGAAGGAGGTTTGGCGCCCTAGGCCCCGGTGCGGCCTTCAGATCGGAGAGGCTCCTGCGATGGAGCGCGCCAATCCCCAAAAAGGCTGTGAGTTGATGGAGTTTTGCAGCCTGGTTTGGAGGGGACAGAACGTCGAGACTGCTCTATGCTGTGACCGCTATCGCTATGCTGTGACCGCTATCGCTATATACTGTGACCGCTATCGCTATATACTGTGACCGCTATCGCTATATACTGTGACCGCTATTTCTAAACGGTAAATCCTGGAGCCTCATATCCACTGAGAAAAATAGTAAGCCCACTACTTCTCTGAAGTGGGCCTAACACTGCTCTGCAAAAGACTGTTCTGTAGCACGTGACTGTAGCAAGATGGCTGCGTAGACGTCTCGCTTAAACGCCACTATCTGATTTATCCTTTAAAGTAAAAAGCCAATGATGCCAGACCAAATACGAAGTTGGTGAAGTTAAGATATGTCTAAATCTTCTAAAAAGGAGCAAAAAAGGGAGCAAGGAAAGCCAAGAACGAGAACCACGCGCGCTACAGCTCACCTGGATATAATGGATAATCAGGAGGAAGAGCGTGATTCCAGCAGCACAGAGCACCCAACAGTCGCAAACGCCAAAGGAAGCACCTTTAACAAAACTATCTTTGACATGCTCCAAAAGATGTCGGTGGATTTGGGAGAGTTAAAGGCCATAAAAGAAATGACCGCATCTGTGGAAGGAAAACTCACCTCACTTGTGACTCGCATGACTGAAGTCGAGGAGCGGGTGAGTGGAATTGAGGACACGCTCGCAAAACAGAAGGAAAACCCCCCGGTAACGAGAGCTGAGTGGCGTGAGCTGCGTGACCAAATGACAATGATGGAGGACAGATCTAGACTAAATAATTTAAGATTCGTCGGGTTCAGTGAAGGAACCGAGAAGAACAACGTAGCCGGGCTCCTGACCCGGTTTATTTCAACAACCCTCGGGATTACATCTGCCGCACCGCAAGGACTCGAAATCGAGCGTGCTCACCGGACTCCAACACGGAGATCAGCATCCAGCGAGAGACCGCGGACCATCATCGCTGCCTTTCTCCGACATCAGGACTGCTTAAACATATTACGTGCTGCCAGGGAGAAGGGGCGAATCATCTGGGATGGAAAGCAGGTAATGATTTTCCCTGATTATTCTCGGGAGACACAAGGCAAACGCGAGGCCTTCAGACAGTGTAAAAAACTGCTACATGAACGCAAAATAAAGTTCAGTCTCCTGTACCCTGCCAAACTGATTATAAACGTGGGAGGAAGACCACCCCGCACCTTTGATGATCCCCAAAAAGCGATTGACTTCATACAGACAAATCTGTAATAAGCGAGATATATTATGCTATGAATCAAACTTTGCTGTAATGGGCCAACATACTGTTTAGCTGTTTAGCAAAATAAGTGAAATAATGTAGGTTAGGCCTAAGTCTATATTTTTCACAAAGACTATATATTCTTTGTTCTTTATTATCATTCTCTTATGAGAACAATAATAGATTCTTATAGCTCCTTTCATCTTAAGCATAGAAATTCTACTTTCATGATCTTTCATCTTGTTTTTTATTTTTATTATTTCTCGTTTTTGTTTTTAAATTTTTTTTTGCTTTTTGTTTATTTTGTTTTTTGTTTTCTATTTTCAAGTTTTTGGACGTCCATTTTTGTCTTCCCATGTCCAATATACATTTGAAGTGAAACCTTTTTTAGTTTGTTTAATAAATGCATGGGAAAAATAAGAACCAAGTATTATTACTTAAAAAGGGAAACCCTTGTGTATGTGCGTTATATTTTTTATTTTATTTTTGTTCCCTTGCGTTTTGTTTTGGTTTTTGTGTTTTGTTTTTATTCTTCTCTCAGCATAGTGGTGTTTGAGACTCTCGGCGAAACCATCAGACTATCGAGTCTGAGCGTTTTTATTTTATTTTTACTTGTTTCTTATTTTTATTCTTGTCAATGCATTATGCATCCTTCCTATTTTTCTCTTTTTTCATTTATGTTTTTTCCTACTTCACTACCTGCAGTGTGTTCGTATGTGTGTGATTGTGTGTGCATATGTGTGAGAGTGAACTTGTGTATGTTTTCATGGTCATGTGGCTGTGTGTCTGTGTGTTTGGGCCCCTCCCTTTATGACCATGCACCCTCTCTCTTTATTCATGTCTCTGAAATACTACATGTATAGTTGTGATAGCGAAGGCTCTTCTGAAACTGAGGATGAAGATCTGAACATAAACTTGGAGCCTATTAGTTTTTCTGACCATATGAATTATAGATCACAAAGCTTTATGCACGAAATTGATCCTGATAAAAATATCCTTCAAAATACTAACACTGATTGTCTATATTATACAAACATCACATTTGAGAAAAGATTCATGCAAGAAAAAAGTATATCTCTTGTACATTTTAATAGCAGGAGTTTATACGCAAATTTTGAAGGCATCCAGGACTCCTTGAACCAATTTAAGTCACCTTTTAATATAATTGGTATTTCGGAGACGTGGATAAGAGAGAATAGTGAGAGTGACTTTGAATTAGAGGGTTATGAAATGTTCTGTACAAACCGGCAACACAAGAGAGGAGGGGGAGTGGCTCTATACGTGGACAAAAACATGAACTGTTCTATTGTAAATGATTTGTGTTTAGCGATAGATGACCTTTTTGAGTGTGTCACGATAGAACTAGCAATTCCAAACAAGAAAAACATTATTGTAAGCTGCGTTTACAGGACACTAGGATCCGACTTGAAACTATTTAGGGAATGGATGGAAAAGATATTTAATAATAGAAACAAACAATTTATCATATGCAGAGACTTTAACATTAACCTTTTAAATTCTAATAAACATGTACATACAGAGGAATTTATTGACACCATGTTTTCTATGGGCTTGTTCCCACTTATCAGCAGACCCACGAGAATCACATCTCATAGTGCCACTCTTATAGACAATATATTCTGCAACATTTTAGACGACAAGTTAACTGGAGGTGTGTTAGTGAATGATGTGAGTGATCATTTACCGGTCTTCATGATGTATGATGTCAACAGCAATATTTCCAAACCAGTAAAAAGGGTCTTTTATCAACGAGTTACAAACAGAACAATCCTTTTTAGCATTAAAGCATGATCTAGCGAGGCAAAACTGGGATCCTATTTTTTCAATGTTTGATGTAAATGGAGCTTACAATTTGTTTCTTGACATTTTCCTCACACTTTATGATAAGCACTGTCCAATCAAAAAGTGCACAAGAAAGCACACAAAAACTCCATGGTTAACAAGAGGCCTTGTAAACGCTTGCAAAAAGAAAAATTACTTGTATAGGCAATTTCTTAGGTATCAAACGACAGAAACTGAACAAAAATACAAAACATATAAAAATAAATTAACTAGCATAATGAGAACCAGCAGAAAAGAATATTATATAGATTTACTTATCAAAAAGAAAAATGACATTAAAGGAATTTGGAATGTATTGAATAGCGTTATTGGTCGTGGCTCTAACAGCCTGTGTTATCCTGAGTTTTTTTTTGAAAATGACATGATTGTTCGAGACAAAAAGAAGATTGCAAATGGTTTTAATAATTTCTTTGTTAATATAGGGCCTGAGTTGGCAGGAAAAATCCCAGAAAACAATGATCAGCTAAGAGAACTCATTGAAACAAATTCACATTCGATGTTTATCGCCCCCACAGACGAGAAGGAAGTCCTCAATGTCATTAGGAACTGTAAAAATAAAACATCTGGTGATATTAATGATCTCGACATGAGGACTGTCCGAAATGTAGCAGAGGAAATTGCTAAACCGTTCACACATATCTGCAACTTATCTTTTCAGCTGGGAGAATTTCCCTCACAAATGAAACTTGCAAAAGTCATACCAATTTTTAAAGCTGGAGACAAGCACTACTTTACAAACTATCGGCCTGTTTCCCTTCTGCCACAGTTTTCTAAAATATTAGAAAAAGTATTTGACACTAGACTTCGCTGCTTTATTGAAAACCACAATTTACTGTCCAATAGTCAATATGGATTTAGACAAAACAGATCCACTTCACTAGCACTAATTGATTTAATTGAAGAAATTACTAATGTTATTGAGAAAAATAAATTTGTTTTAGGGATTTTCATTGACCTTCAAAAAGCGTTCGATACAATTGACCACCATATTTTGATACACAAATTTGAGAGCTATGGCATAAGGGGACAGCCTAAACAATGGTTAGAGAGTTATTTAAGTGAGAGAAGGCAGCTGGTACAGATTGACCAACACAAATCTGGATTTAAGAACATAACGTGTGGAGTACCTCAAGGATCAATACTTGGACCCACTTTATTCATAATGTACATAAATGATATATGTACAATATCAAACTTAATGAAATTCATTCTCTTTGCCGATGACACAAATATCATATGTGCAGGTGATGATCTGGAGCAGCTCTTGGCCGTTGTAACTGTTGAAATGAACAAACTAAAGACCTGGTTTAATACAAACAAGTTGTCATTAAATATAAAAAAGACCAAGATTATGCTTTTTAGCAATCGCAGATGTAATATTCCTGTCAAGATTGTCATTGACAATACAGAAATGGAAAAAGTTCACCAAAATACATTTTTAGGAGTTGTAATAGATGATAAAATATCCTGGAAACCCCACATAAATTTCATCAGGTCAAAAGTTGCTAAATGTGTTGGAATGATGAGGAGAGCAAGTCATTTACTCAACACCAATGCTCTTCTATTATTGTATCGTTCTTTCATCATGTCATATTTACATTACTGTGTTGAAGTGTGGGGAAACTGCTACAAATCCCACTTACAGCCTCTGATCACGCTGCAGAAAAAGGCCATAAGGATTGTCTCTAATGTTCACAACAAGCATCATACTCACCCACTGTTCATAGAGTTGGAAGAATTTAAATTACAAGATTTGATTCACTTTAGAACTGCTCAGATTATGTTCAGGGCATCAAAAAACTCTCTGCCTCCAAATGTTCAGAATTTATTTCGTGACAGAGACGTGCATCATAGTCATAGACTAAGAGGAAATAAAAATGTATACTTGCCTAAATTTAGGACCACTTTAAAGTCAATGTGTGTCTCAGTGCGAGGAGTTTCTCTATGGAATACCTTAAAGGATGAACTTAAAAATAGTACAAATCTGACTCAATTTAAAGCTTTGTTTAAAAAAGATGTACTAAAGAAATACAAGGAGGAAAGAGAGTGATGCCCTCAGCACAGAGCGAGTGATGGCAGAGAGGGGTGGGGTCAGAGTGTTCGGGCCTGTGTGTGTGTGTGTGTGGGTGTGTGTGTGTGAATGTGCGTGAATGTACGTGTATGCGCATGGGTTGTTTTTTTGTTTTTGTTTTATATATATATATATATATATATATTTATATATATATATACATATACATTTTTTGTTGTATACCATTGGTGGTAGTATCGTATTGAAATTCTTGGCAAAATGTACAGTAGTATTCTTGTATACCATTGGTGGTAGTGTTGTATTGACAATAGTACTTTGTAATGTGATTTTTGGATTATTTTGACGGGTGTTGTGTGGGTGAGAGGGTTGGGCTAAAATAAGCATAGTGCTTCATCCAACCCCTTTTCAAACCTTGAATATGTGTCTGAACATTTGTCAAATGTGTCTTCTGTGCAGGTTTTGAAATAAAGAAATAAATTCAAATAAATTCAAAGGGAAATATTGAAACCAATCTCAAGATTTCATGACTGTAAACTATAAAGAGTGCTGTCTTGATCACTGAAGGTCTTTGAAAATAATACAATTCCATATGGCTGCGAACCAGTGCTAAAACATTATCTATAATCTGGATCAGGGAATTTATTTCTATCCCAAATTCATTTCATACTAAAGATATTTCACATTGACTGTTTATAGTATTCCCTGATCTCAAATAACACCCAAGCTACAGCTTTTTGAAGTCTTTATACAATAATTAACATTTTCCAAAATGGCCGCCACCTTGATGACGTCACAATATGCAAATTAGATGACGAATCAACTTCCATCCCAAAGTTTGGTTCAAACTGAAGATATTTCTAATTTACAGTATGCCTTTATCTCAAACCATTTTAAAGTTATAGCCTTTTGAAATCTTGAAATCAAAATTGTATATTTTCTTGAAAAAACTCTGGCGCCTAAAGGGTTAAAGCTATCAAAAGTGACAGAAGTCACAAATTAGAAATATGTGTTTGCTCAAGCTGCAAACGCAAAAGTTGTTAGAGTTGGAGTCACAATAGAGTAAAAATAGAAATGGAGCTTTCGCGAAAGTTCACTGTGGTAGACCCGGCTGCTGCT